ATTTCTCAAGCACTCTTGTTTTCCTTGATTTAAATGGATTCAAATTTTCCTACACGAGCAATTTTTTAAAAAATGAATGAGTTGGCTTTTGTTCCTTTAAAAGTCTAGCCCAATTCTTTTTTTTTCAAAAGCACTTACTTTGCTTACAGAGGACATGTTTATAAGAAAGTTGAATAACTATGCAAGCGGAGTCTCTAAATAGAAGTCCTAGTAAATCCTAACATGCTGCAGTACATTGACTGAGGACACATTCTGATCCCTAAAGCTCTCTCCAATCTAATGCTCAGTGAAAACAGCAAACAAAAGGCCTCAGTGTTAGTGGAAAACCGAGTTCTTCAAAGCAGGTGAAGGTCCTGTTTAATCCTTTCAGAAAGCTGAGGAGAAAGGGTTTTCAGATTATAAATGGCAGAGTTGCCCTTGTATAACACAGAACAATCGTGATAAGGCTTTACTTCTCAGGCGCCTAAATTATGAAGGCAGTGTTTGAACAGGATTAGAAATGAACAAAAGGGAAAGCTTAGCTTTGACGAAGAATTACATCACTCCTTGACAAAACTGAAGATTCTTAATTTTTTAAAAAAGCTTCCTTTTAGTAGTGTCTAACCGTTCTATCTGTGACAACACATGAAGTGAGCAGCAGTACAAAGGATACATGTGATTTCGAAATGCCATAATTGAGCCAACTGCAGTTGCGCGCCTATGTAGAATGGAGGCGTGACCAAAAAAAGACTATAGGGAGCCTGTATCCGTATCAAAAGATACTCTCCCCGTCTTCTGTAAAATAAGTCTTGCGGAAATAAGTTTCTCCCCACTTGAAAAGTGCCCCCAGCGACAAGAATTCATCTTGTCCACGCCTCGAGCCGAGGCATTCAAGGTGTTGAGTCACCGAGTACAACGGTCGTGCGACATAAGCATTATTTGATGACGGAGATCCTAGGGGTGCAGATGCCAAGGTAAACCTCTGGCAAGGATGACTGTGGTTAGCACTTAAGACAGAAGCAAGCAGGGTCGGGACTGAGACAAGGTTCCAGCCCCACAAGGACTGCATTTTAACTTTGAGGCAAACTTCAAGCCTCCCCATGTGACATGTGTGCACTCCTAGGTGGTTTTAATTATGAGAAACAGGCTTTGCAGCGTGATTCCTCCCACTCGACAGAGTGGACTCTGCTCCCGTTCCCATCCCTTCCCTAACCCAGGCCTCCTGCATCTCCGAGCCCCTCCTCAGCCCTTCCCCGCCCCCGCCCGGGGAGATGCTCCGACTTTTGCGCTTCGCCATTCATCAACCGGTTCACACCGGCGGCGGCCGCCACGGGGNCCAGATCCGGGCCGGCGTGGGGTAGGCGGGGCGGCCCGGCGCGGCTGCTAACGGTCTCGGCCCGGAGCTCTTGGAGCTCGGGGGCTGGCACGGGACAGGAGCCTGGTGGAGCCACCCTTGTCCTCCGTGGCCGGGACCGGAGCCTCAGACAAAATGGCCTCGGCTCCCGCGCCTGACTGAAGGCGCGGCGTGAACCCGTGATTGCGGCGCGGAAAGGGGGCGCCACGGGCGGGCCCGGGCGTTCACCACCGCGTGTGCGGAGCGGCGGCCATCGGGGGCGTTCCGCAGCGGCAGCCTACCTGGGCTAGAGCCGTGCTCTGCTAGCCGGGGACAAGAGGACGCCGGCCGCCTGCCCCGCCCTCCCTCAGTCTCCACCTGGTAATTCGAGCTGTTCCGGATTTAACGCCCCACCCTGCCCTCTGGAGAGTGGGAACAAGTCGAGTCTTGTCTTTTCTCTGGGCAATTCGTTGAAAAATGGCCTGGGTCTGAGCGCCTTGGAAACTCTCAGGGCTTATGTTACGCTGAAGCAAAGGAGTCCCCGGCCGGGCACCAGCGTGCAATTTTCCTGCCAATTTTGGAAGGGCCCTTGGTGGCGCCTTTTAATCGGGGACTACTCAGAGCTGTTCCCGAAATTGGTGCAATGTGTTGTTGACTCCTGTTGGCTTGTGGCAAAAGTAGCCAGCCAGAGTCAGAATTCTGAGGTTTATGTTCTGTCCGTGGAACCCGCTACATTTCCAAGAGTATTAAGTTGTGATTTACACTTTAGTTGGAACCGTCGACCTGCTTGAGATCCAGATTCTGAGGCAATGCTGTTACTCTTTTTTATAAGAATCAAGAGCAAGCAGCATTTTACACATGCTTCGTGGGGGTGCGTTTCCTAAGACCTAAGTAGATGTGGAACAGGTTCCAACGAATTATTTGACAGAGCAATTACACATATTAATTGGCTTGACTCTGCGGTCTGACAAACTGACTTACAGAAATTGCTCTTCTCTCCCCTCTGTATATTTTTGTGATTATATGCAACTGAATGTGGGAGGAAGAAAAATCCCTTGGTACATCTGAACTGCCTAGCGTGGATAGTTTTTCCTGTAGGGAGGAAATTAAGAATGGGGGAGCGTCTTGGACAGAACAGAAATGTGATTGGTCACCATTGCTTTTATAGAAGTGTCCCCCCAGCCACTGGGTGGCTCCACTCAGTAAAAATAACCAGTTGAGGAAATGAATTCTTTCTATATTGCTTTTTGTGCTTCCTGATGAAACTGTTTAAGTGAAGGGATATGGATGGCCAGGCTTGATTGTAGTCAACAGGCATTTTAGCATTAAATATGGAAATAGTGGTGTTAAATGCTTCCATAAGTCACCTTTCCGTTGAAAAAAAGATAGTACCTGGACATCAGAATACTGTGATTAAATTTACAAATGACTTCCTTAATTCATTTTATGTCATCAGAAAAGTGCCAAAGTACACTTTTTGTTATATTCTAAGGAAGTAGTATTTACGATTTAAGTTGAAAGTAAAATGAAATTATTTCCAGATTACTGCAGTCTCCACTATAATAGTGGTGTCTTTGATGGTAGTTTAGACACTTAATTTTTTAACTCAGCTGACAAATAGGTGAAGAAACCTCTGAGAGCTCATTTGAACAAATTTGGAAATGAAAGTTATCTTCCTTAAAAGGCCTTTCAATAAATGACACCTAATGCTAGTGCCTTTGTTTTGCCAGAAAAACAGATTTTTTTTTTACTTTGTTTTCTATGATTAGTAGAATTCTAGAAACTGTAACTAGTGTGGAACTCTATATTTAAAGGTATAAAATGAAAATGGGGGCAGATTGAATTTGATTTTAAGCGTTTTAAGTGGTTACTTTTGAGCATGGAAAACTAATGGGACTTTTTCTTGTTACAAGATTTTTTTTTTTTTTTTTTTTTTTTAAAAAAAGATGACCGGCAAGGGGATCTTAACCCTTGACTTGGTGTTGTCAGCACCACGCTCAGCCAGTGAGCATTTAAAGGTATAAAATGAAAATGGGGGCAGATTGAATTTGATTTTAAGCGTTTTAAGTGGTTACTTTTGAGCATGGAAAACTAATGGGACTTTTTCTTGTTACAAGATTTTATTTTGTTTGGTAATTTACTCATGAGATTATATATGAAGTGTTTGGGGCAGTGGTTGTCACTTCGTTGCTCTTCTTGTTAACCTGTTAATTTTTCTTAGTCCCCTCTTTATTCCCAAGTACACAAGTACCTTATAAATTACTTGGAAGAAGACTTAACAATGCCTTTCATCTACATATTCTGAAAATATCCTGTGACTATTCACTTAATGTTTAATACTGGCATAAAACTGGTTTAGTTATGAAAGGGAACTTGGGGAAAATGTACATTTATATTGTATTTATAGGTGGTAATAGTTACCCTGCTTTTGAGACCTATGAAAAAAGTCCAGGATAATTTCTACCACCTCCCCACCTTCCCTCTTGCACTCTCTCTACTTACTTTTCTTCTGAATTTGATTTCAGTTTTAGGCTGGATAAGTGAAATTTTGGTTTTAAAATACTAAAGAATACTATTAAAACTATGAAT